TGCTAAACCTGTAAACCTGTAAAACCTGCTAAACCTGTAAACCTGTAAAACCTGCTAAACCTGTAAACCTGTAAAACCTGCTAAACCTGTAAACCTGTAAAACCTGCTAAACCTGTAAACCTGTAAAACCTGCTAAACCTGTAAACCTGTAAAACCTGCTAAACCTGTAAACCTGTAAAACCTGTAAACCTGAGTAAACCTGTAAAACCTGTAAACCTGAGTAAACCTGTAAAACCTGCTAAACCTGCTAAACCTGTAAACCTGCTAAACCTGCTAAACCTGTAAACCTGAGTAAACCTGTAAACCTGTAAAACCTGCTAAACAAAACCTGAGCCAGATATGCAGGCGATGAGTCACAATAACGTGGCTGAAGTATGTTGACCAGACCACACACTAGAAGGTGAAGGGACGACGACGACGTTTCGGTCCGTCCTGGACCATTCTCAAGTCGATTGTCATATCTGACTGAGCCAGATATGAATCGTTTTGTTAATTATTCCTCAACAACTTGTGCTTATTTTGCGTACGCAGGATCTCTGCTTCCCCTTGAAATATGCAAACTAAATTAGAGGTGAAAAACAAGGAGATTTGTAGCCCCAGACATTATACTCGTAAGTCCTTGAAAGTGAGCACAGGGTAAACGATAATATAAGAATGCAGTCCATTACCACACGGAGAGAGATCTTGTAATGCTTTCACGTTGTGGCCAAGTGAATTGTTGCAGTAACTATCGTTCAGTTACTTGCACGAATTATGGATGTTAATTGCGAATGAATATATTACACACACACACACACATTATATCTCTCTCACTATATGTGACATATAGAGAGAGCTGATATTGTCACATATATATATATGTGACAATATCAGCCCATGAAGGAAGGAATAAGACAGAAAATTTCCTTAAGTACTTTCGTATTTAAGCCACCGAAGAGATGGCACGGGCATGAATAGCCCGTAAGGGCTTAACAGCTCAGTTGTATAGACATATAGGAAGGAATGAACTTGCAAGACAAATTATGCATGATATACATACATATGTATACTGGAGTTGATCTTGAAGGAACTCAAGTGGAAAAGACATTTTCATTAGTTCCCTGAAAACACTCTTTCATGCACCTGAGGTCTATGGGTTTTCGAACCCTGGACCTTACGTGTGGGAGGCCGACATTCGATCTTACACTCTTTCAGGTTCCAGAAAATGTTATTTTGAAGTTCAAGTTTACACGTGTGTACATATTCTCACAGAGATATACACACGAGGCTGAGTCTTGGCTCAAGACCTATGATCTTTAGAACATATTATCCAAAAATAACACAATCCAGCCACAATGTTGTACTGTTTTAACATTGTACTGGCGCTGAGGCGACATTGTACCAGTTACTACAGCATTATACCAGCGTTGTTGCAACATTGTACGGGCAAAGTAACAAGGGTTTCACCAATGTACCAATGTTGTTGCTACGTACCATTCTAACAACCTCAATCAAGTTGTGGGTAGGTTGTGTGTGTTCACTATGAGGATGTCCAGAGTAACAACTTGCATATCCCAGCTTCTTGTTCTCATATCCCAGCTGCTTGTCCTCATATCCCAGCTGCTTGTACTCATATCCCAGCTGCTTGTCCCTCATATCCCAGCTCCTTGTCCCTCATATCCCAGCTCCTTGTCCTCATATCCCAGCTCCTTGTCCTTATATCTCAGCTCCTTGTTCTCATATCTCAGCTCCTTGTCCTCATACCCCAGCTCCTTGTCCTCATACCCTAGCTCCTTGTCCTCATACCCCAGCTCCTTGTCCTCATACCCCCAGCTCCTTGTCCTCATATCCCTTCCAAATGCGATACAGACTCACCGACTTAGCCCGCATTCTCCTCCCAACTGCCTAACCTTACCTGGCCCCCCTTTCAAAGTACGATATATTCACACTTGGCTACCTACGGGCTCACCATAGCCCGTGCTGCTTGGAACTTTTTGTTCCAGGTAGCGAATCTTAAACAAACAATATTCACACTAGTTTAACACACATATTTCCTTTCAATTACCTTTCCCCATCCCTACCTACAGGGTAAGTAAGGGAGGAACAGCTGAAATAAAATTCATACACATAGTAGTACTCTCCAGAGGGGGAAAATAACTATGCTTCATGCTGTTTTGAAATTTATTTTCACACAAGACTTTCCCAAGGCTCCGAGGGGGCTTGTAATTTTCCTTCTGCTCGGGGGGAGGGCTTGTGTTTTTTTTTTTTTTGGAGGGGAGGAAGGAGGGGGTAGGGGGGTATGAGGGGGGGGGGAGGGGCTATATTTAGTGGTCAGAGTTGTGTGTGTGGGGGGGGGGAGGAGGTGAGGGGGGGATTTTTACGAGTTTTAGGTTGTTTGGTGTTTGTTGAACCTGCGTCAAAAACATGTTTGCTGTCAGAGGTAGAGGAGTATTATTTTTTTTTTTTTAACGTGTGTATGGTTTTTTTTTTAAGACATGGTTTGTGTGTCTGTTTTCAGACATGGTTTGTGTGTCTGTTTTCAGACATGGTTTGTGTGTCTGTTTTCAGACATGGTTTGTGTGTCTGTTTTCAGACATGGTGTGTGTGTTTTTACGCTGTTTTTTAAGACATAGTTTGCATGATTTTTTTTTTTTTAGACAGTGTATGTTTGTTTGTTTTTAGACATGGTATGTTTCGTTTTAGACATGATATGTATGTTTGGGTCGAGAAGTGGAGTGTCCGTTTGGGCACAGATATAGTGTCCCATATTATATATATATATATATATATATATATATATATATATATATATATATATATATATATATATATATATATATATGAAATAAAAACATGCTAATTTGCATACAGAAGCAATTTACGTCGCCTAATATTCCTTTGAATTTCCATTTCACTTTTCCTCCCCACCGAAGCCCTAGATAAAAAGAGGAGATAACTGATAAACTCGAGGCTTCAGCGCTCCCGTTTATCCTATAAACACAGTGTTTGAACCTTCCTAAAGGATGGGGTTAAAGTATTTAATGCTTTATCTCCTTTCCTTGTGGGATTAAACACACAGGTAATCGCTACCTTCATTTTTCACGGCAAACCTGTAATTAGTGCTGGATTTTTTTTAATTAAGGGTTGAGTAAAGGAATAAACCAGGGTGAAGGGGAGAGGCCAGGTGAGTGGGGGGAGGGGTAGATGGGGTAGAACAGGGGGGGTAGATGGGGTAGAGCAGAGGGGGTAGATGGGGTAGAATAGGGGGGGGGGTAGATGGGGTAGAATAGGGGGGGGGGGTAGATGGGGTATAACAGGGGGGGGTAGATGGGGTAGAACAGGGGGGGGGTAGATGGGGTAGAACAGGGGGGAGTAGATGGGGTAGAACAGGGGGAGGTTTACCTGTGTCAAGAACACCTGGAAATCATATGTGCCCTGGAGATCAGAACGCCGCCGACGGTGAAGAAGAACAATCAGAGAACACTGCATGAACATCAGGTAAGAGAGAGGGGTAACAGAAATGTTAATATCCTCCTGAAATATTGCCTGAACAACAACAACAACAACATCACAAAAATGCCGGACCAACCGAGCAGTAATGGATGCATTACGCTCCCAACAACAGTTTTCTAGATCAAGTCATCAAAATTCAAGCCTTGACCCAGGCCCTGTTTGGCGGAGTAGAACTACAACATATCCCACGTTCTCAGTAGGTATACCCCAGGTATACTCCAGGTATACGGGGTATGCGTGTCCTGTAGATCAGAATGACTCTGATTTTCTATCATGGCGGACAAAGTATAAAATTAAACTGGGGAAATCATGGTAATTTGCACCCTGCTTTCCTGCCTACTTTCGCGCTTCCATAACCTAGTTTGAGAGCCTTTCAGCGCCGGTTCATGTCATGCCAGAGGTTAGGTGATTAATAACGAGGGCAAATGCAAAAAAAATTCTGAAATATCAACGGGGAATATTGCAGCTGCAGGACAGGAAGAGACGGGTGACCGTAGTAGCTAGATGGACGGAAGAAGACGGGTGACCGTAGTAGCTAGATGGACGGAAGAAGACGGGTGACCGTAGTAGCTAGATGGACGGAAGGAGACGGGTGACCGTAGTAGCTAGATAGACGGAAGAAGACGGGTGACCGTAGTAGCTAGATAGACGGAAGGAGACGGGTGACCGTAGTAGCTAGATGGACGGAAGGAGACGGGTGACCGTAGTAGCTAGATGGACGGAAGGAGACGGGTGACCGTAGTAGCTAGATGGACGGAAGACGGGTGACCGTAGTAGCTAGACAGACGGAAGAAGACGGATGACCGTAGTAGCTAGATGGACGGAAGAAGACGGATGACCGTAGTAGCTAGATGGACGGAAGAAGAATGCTGGAAAAGAATTATGAACAAAGGTTGTTAAAAGGTGTATGGCATTTGTAAAACTTTATGTCATCCGTTTCCTAAACATTTCCACCAACTTTCCCACAATAAACGTCAAAGTTCGGTGGTTCGATACAAGTGATCTATGTCTCTTCTTCAAAAATGGTGTACCACCTTGGCAGCCCTCCACGATACCACTACTCTCCTCGACTTTAATGATACACTAAACATTTAAAGCATAAATTCACAAAGTTTTAACAATACAAAATATATCTCATTGAAAATTTTCCTAATAAATATGTCTGATGCCCGTGTTCGAATCTCTTATGATCAAAGTAGACATAATGTTAATAGATACAGTATGATGAATGTTATCTTATGTATTAGAGAGTAACTTTGGTAATGTCTCACTATTGGAGTATGTTAACCAGACCACACACTAGAAAGTGAAGGGACGACGACGTTTCGGTCCGTCCTGGACCATTCTCAAGTCCATTCTACGAGTCCACCTGTATTGTAGGGTAAGGCTTGCCATGAGCTATAGGAAGGGAAGGTCCTCAGCCTGCTAACAGGAGACAGAAGCCATTTGGGGGTCTGTACCCTGAGTATATATAAAAAGTTCTTTACAAGTTCCCCGTGTGGCCGCAGATGTCGAGGAGGCTTCGTGGAGATCTCGGACGGGAGAAGAGTGACCGAGACGACCGCTGACGGACTCAACTCCCTCAGAATTTGCGGCGAAGATGAGCGACTACATCCACCAGTCGTCCTCTACAGCGACACCAGCACGGCCACCATCTCCTTCCGGTGAGTACAGCTAATGTGGCGTCTACCCCATCTGCTTGATCAAGCTCCAGCTCCCGGACTAGGCATGACTCTCTCTCTCTCTCTCTCTCCAGTAGTTCCCTATTTCTGCTATGTCGTCTTCAGGTTCTACTTAACCCTTGATAACAATTCTTGAGTCTCCGTTGCTAGAACTACTGTGGTGCAACCTAACCTAGGTTGCAACTTAAGATATGAGTACTCTCTAGGCTCGTATGAGTACTCTCTAGGCTCATACGAGTACTCTATAGGCTCATACGACTACTCTCTAGGCTCATACGAATACTTCCTAGGCTCATACGAATGCTCTCCAGGCTCATACAAGAACTCTCTAGGCTCATACGCATACTTCCTAGGCTCATACGAGTACTCTCTAGGCTCATATGACTACTCTCTAGGGTCATACAAGTACTCTCTAGGCTCATATGACTACTCTCTAGGGTCATACAAGTACTCTCTAGGCTCATACAAGTACCGTCTAGTTCCATACGAACACATTATAACGTAATAGCTTGGATATTCTTACTAAAACACACAAATCATTATTTAACTCTCGCATTAAAATTTATAAGATTCGTTCCACAATGCATCAGACCTGCAAGCCTCCTCAAGTGATTGACAGAGTTATTGCAAAACTTTTAAGAAAGCTGTAGATTGGTGGACTGCCTCACTGCATTAAGGATCCAGCCATAACTTTCTGGAGAGGACCAAACTTGTATTCCATAATTGGTTTTTCCAAGGGATGTTCACTAGAGTTATTCTGATCACTGAGGCAGAAAGGTCTTTTCTTGTGAGTTCTGTCAAGTTTACAATAATGCAATATGTTTCAAAAATCTATTTTACTACGAAGCATTCATATGTATATATATATTATATATATATATATATATATATATATATATATATATATATATATATATATATATATATATATATATATATATATATATATATATATATATATATATATATATATATATATATATATATATATATATATATATAGTATATACAACCAGTTCTCGCACTTGCTCTTAGTCAGTATTGGCTTATTTAATAAGTGCATATGTGACATACTAATTGATTGTGAATATTTTAGTTTACCTTGAAAAGCTTCATAGAAAACACCGACCTCACCTAACCTTCTTAGTATGTTAAGATAAGCATCTTATTTATAATTATTACTTAACCTATCAACGGTATAGGTTAAGTAATAATTGTAATTAAGAAGCAATAAGATGCTTATCTTAACATACTAAGAAGGTTAGGTGAGGTCGGTGTTTTCTATGACGCTTTTCAAGATAAACTAAAATATTCACAATCAATTAGTATGTCACATATGCACTTATTAAATAAGCCAATATTGACTATATGCAATTTTCCGTAGACTAATTACACTAGGTAATTTTCTCACACTAAATGAACACTAATTCATTTGGAAAGCACGAAAATTCGTGTTACAAGAAATCAGATTACCGAGCTCTCTCTGTCTCTGTAGGAGAGAGAAAGAGAGAAAGAGAGGGTTAGGAGAGAGGGATTGAGAGGTGAAGAGAGAGAGAGAGAGAGAGAGAGAGAGAGAGAGAGAGAGAGAGAGAGAGAGAGAGAGAGAGAGAGAGAGAGAGAGAGAGAGAGAGAGAGAGAGAGAGAGAAGTAAAGTAGATAAGTAATTATATCCCCCACAATATGGAAGTTAACCCTAAGTGAATAACAAGGACCCAGCTCAACATCTGACACCAAGACAGCGGCCTAAACGCAATATTTCACAACGTGTCAATCCTCCACTGCTGCGAACACCTCCGCTCACTTGCAGATAATCATCCCAGTGTGCCGAACAGTTCTGTTTATCTCGGGGAATTGACCGACCTCCTCCCTTTGACCGAGGACAAAGTTGGCAATGGCCGCCCACCTGCAGAGTTTGACAGCAAATTACTGGTTGATTGTTTAGTACTCAACAAACTCGTTCTCTTTGGGCACCAAAGGTGCCAGAACCTTTAACTGTGGAGGTTTGTTCTCCACAGGTGAGTGCCAGTATGTAGGTGATGTACTGCCGCATGAGTGCCAGGGCCAGGTGAGTGCCAGTGCCAGGTGAGTGCCAGTGCCAGGTGAGTGCCAGGGCCAGGTGAGTGCCAGTGCCAGGTGAGTGCCAGTGCCAGGTGAGTGCCAGTGGCATGATAAACATAACGTTGCTGGGGAGTGACGGTGTTGGTCTTAAAGGTGAAGGATCAGGTGGTCGGCCCCGCACCTGCCTCACCTGCCTCACCTGTCTCACCTGCCTCACTTACCTCACCTGCCTCACCTGTCTCACCTGCCTCACCTGTCTCACCTGCCTCACTTACCTCACCTGCCTCACCTGTCTCACCTGCCGCACCTGCCTCACTTACCTCACCTGCCTCACCTGCCGCACCTGCCTCACCTGCGGCACCTGCCTCACTTACCTCACCTGCCTCACCTGTGAGAATGTGAGGCCAACCATATATATTTATATATATATATATATATATATATATATATATATATATATATATATATATATATATATATATATATATATATATTTATATATATATATACATATATATATAAAATAGAGAGAGAGATACAAAATACTTCTAACAAAAAAGAGTAATCACTGGACGCTGAATTAGGCCTACAGAGCCCTGATAAGTCAGAATTCTATAGTCAGAGATTCGATTGGCCTATTAGGCCCCTGACTGGTTCAATCAGGATCAACCTTATCCACATATCCTCTTCCTTATCCACACATATCCTGCTCCTTATCCTCATATAGCAATCAAGTAATCAAGTGATATACAATAACACACTTGCTTATTTCTCTCGATTTATCACTACGTAAAAAATGGAACTGTTTGGCCTAACCTAACCTAACCAACCTACCTAACCTATCGAGGCCGTTGCATAAAACAAAAATCTTTATACGGTGCTGTGATGTTGCCTAACAGGTTCCGTTGAGACAAGTTGGGCGTGATGGTAATTTATTTAACTCTCCCCCCCCCCCCCCAGTCACACGTGACCTGCTTAGCGACACCTGTTGACACTTTTCTGAGCCTCTGATCCCCATCTGACACCTGTTTAGCACCTCTCTGGGCTTCTGACTCCCCACGAGACACCTGTTTAGCACCTCTCTGGGCCTCTGATCCCATCAGACACCTGTTTAGCACCTCTCTTGGGCTTCTGATCCCATCTGACACCTGTTTAGCACCTCTCTGGGCCTCTGATCCCATCTGACACCTGTTTAGCACCTCTCTGGGCTTCTGACTCCCCACGAGACACCTGTTTAGCACCTCTCTGGGCCTCTGATCCCATCAGACACCTGTTTAGCACCTCTCTGGGGCTTCTGATCCCATCTGACACCTGTTTAGCACCTCTCTGGGCCTCTGATCCCATCTGACACCTGTTTAGCACCTCTCTGGGCTTCTGACTCCCCACGAGACACCTGTTTAGCACCTCTCTGGGCCTCTGATCCCATCAGACACCTGTTTAGCACCTCTCTGGGCTTCTGATCCCATCAGACACCTGTTTAGCACCTCTCTGGGCCTCTGATCCCCACGAGACACCTGTTTAGCACCTCTCTGGGCTTCTGACTCCCCACGAGACACCTGTTTAGCACCTCTCTGGGCCTCTGATCCCATCAGACACCTGTTTTCCACCTCTCTGAACCTCCAGAACACGATTGGAATCTATCGTTAATGACTCCGTGAAATATTTTCTTTAAACAATTGATCTACCCTTAAATAACTTCGACAAGCGTCAAACTTCAAGTGGATTTGCTTGATCAAAAGCCTAAGGAACCTCGACGACGTACAGGACCACTTGAGACCAATGGTCTTGAATACGTCGCAACGTCAGTATTACGTTCAGACGTTCCACCAGAAACGTCGGATTTTGACGTGACGGCTTCCCTGTCATCTGACGTAATGCGTCTCCCACTTTACGGAATAGACCAATCCGTTACGGATGTGACGGATTGGTCTATTCCAATCTTATTTAAGTCGTAAGTACCGAAGGGCTCAGGTTTTTTCTGAGGGTCGATTTCGATTTGCCAGGTGCTTGGATTCGCATGTTTCTGGTTAAGCTAAACATTTGTATTTGTAAACTGTGAACCTGTGTTGTAAACTGTGAACCTGTGTTGTAAACTGTGAACCTGTGTGGTAAACTGTGAACCTGTGTGGTAAACTGTGAACCTATGTGGTAAACTGTGAACCTATGTGGTAAACTGTGAACCTACGTGGTAAACTATGAACCTATGTGGTAAACTGTGAACCTGTGTGGTAAACTGTGAACCTGTGTGGTAAACTGTGAACCTATGTGGTAAACTATGAACCTAACTATGTACCTATGTGGTAAACTATGAACCTATGTGGTAAACTATGAACCTATGTGGTAAACTATGAACCTAACTATGAACCTATGTGGTAAACTATGAACCTAACTATGAACCTATGTGGTAAACTATGAACCTATGTGGTAAACTATGAACCTATGTGGTAAACTATGTGGCTCGAGGTTGATGACAACAGAATGATATGGGGGTCGTGGGGTCGTACGACACAGGGGTCGTGGGGGTCGTACGACACAGGGGTCGTGGGGGTCGTGCGACACGGGGGGGGTCGTAGGGGTTGTGCGACACAGGGGTCGTGGGGTCGTACGACACAGGGGTCGTGGGGGTCGTGCGACACAGGGGTCGTGGGGGGGTCGTGCCGGCTAATACCAGTGCCAGTCTGGCACTTCCACATGTTGACTAGGTTGATTGCTGCCATGTTTATCTGGCACTACCAACTGTATAATCAAAGGTCGTATAATCAAAGGTCGTATAATCCGTAGAATCAAAGGTCGTATGATCAAAAGTCGTATAATCAAAAGTCGTATGATCAAAGGTCGTATAAACCGTATAATCAAAGGTCGTATAATCCGTATAATCAAAGGTCGTATGATCCGTATAATCAAAAGTCGTATAATCAAAGGTC